AATCCCGCGATCCGCCGCCGTTTTCTTGTTTTACATTCAGCAATTTAATCTCTGTATTCGTCGTCGATCCCGCCGCGAGAAATTGCACGGAACCGAAAGAGAGAACTCTCGACGACCGCAATTGTTCATCACGCAGGCCAGACGCGTCGCTTCCCTGATGAAGCTAAAGTGATTCCCAGGAACAAATGTCGCGCGCTACTCTCAGTCCCAAGCAGCCCATTCGTCGTATTCCTCGGTGGAATCAGTGGCGTAACCTGCGCCAAGTGTTCCTGACTGCGGCAGGAATCCCCGTGGTTTTTATTCTACATCGTATAAATCACACTTCGATTGTTTCGCGCGATTTCAGATTAGCCTGAGCTGCGTGCTCAGGCGTTTCAGAGAATCGTGCGAAACGGAGGAAACGCGTCAAGAGCCGAACAAACAGAAAATTATTACACCATGAACAATCGCGATTTTGTGTAATCGCGACCTAGAAGTCACTCCTTGCAGAACATAGAGGTTGATCGAGGAGAGTGAAAAATTACAATTCAATCTTCTACGAGAAAAAAATCTAAAATATAAGAAATATTCACATTCGGTTGGTACTAATAACATATTTATTTAAATATTTAAATGTAGATGTAGAATAGAAGAGAATGTAAATGAGAAGAGGAATCATGGGAGCATGTTTTGGAAAGATCGGAGAGGAAAGAGAGTGTGAAGGAGATTTTGGATGACGATAAAGAATAATTGAAACAGTTGAAGAGAATGAGAGAAGAAAGATAGAAGAAAGAGATAAACTGTAAAGCAATCAGGAGTTGTTTTGTATTCCCAAAAAGGTAAATAGAGATCATTACTACTACCACTACTTAAATCTAAATTTCATTATTTAAATAGAACAAACAACCGCGCTTTTACAACTGCTTTTTTACTTTAAAATTGTTTTATATTATTGCAGTATAAAAATTAGTATATTTATATTATTATAATATAAAATATTATTAGTATCCATCAAATTAATATTTATTATTTCTTAGGCATTTATTTCGGTGTACACAAGGCTCGAGATAAAATTGAAAGATTATGAACTTTGATTTGTGAGAAGTGATGTTAATAAAATTAATAAAAGTTAGATCTTCCCGCATACACCCCCCGGGATCGCTGTACGTGCATGTGCTTATCGCAAGTATTTCTATCAAGAGAATGAAAGTTCATTTTAAAAATGGTAACATAAATCTCCGGAAGCAGCTGGCGGAATTCGACGTTGCGAAAACGTGCAAACGACGAGTTTGGTATGTCCTGTTTTCTCTTTACTCTCTTGTTCTCTTTCCTTTTTCAACGTTGAATCCCCTCCTTCCCTTTTCCTCGTCCCTGAGATCCCCTCGCGACGCGGCTTTTCCATGGGGCTCTCATTACATTAGTTACGTTACTAGGCAGAATATTTTAGTAGAGAAAATAAAGGTCGACAAAGGTTAACGCCTCGAGGGCGGCTTCTCCGCGACGCGAATTCATCAACGCCGTTTTCCCGTCGCGTCGCGCTGGACAGGCTGTCCATCCTACTCGCGGCAGCGCACCTTACTCTTCTCTTCTCACCCTCGCCACCCTCACCCTCGCCCGAGGGAGCTTCGAGAGTCCTTTAATCTTCGAGCGCGGTGAAATATCCGCGACGGTGTTTAGAAGGTCGTTCGGTGTGTATCCTTCACGCCGCCAAGACAAGTGAGTTAGCTTAAGCTTAACAGCCCGCCCCAAACCTAGTGTCCCTCCCGAGTTACCTTCGAGCTTTTCGTCGCGTCGCAAGAACGAAAGGGGATGCCACCACTGCACAAACAATGGCCGGCCATTAATCTTCATATTCTGTCATAAAGCGCGAAATAAAAGCAAACTGCATGGGACGGATGCTTGGACGAGGGCGACTAGTGTCCATGACCTTTTTTTCTTTCTCATGATCCCGTCGAATAGGGCGAATGGGTCCTGTGGATGAGAATTTTAGGACGTTAGGGACACGTGTAGCATCAAATGCGGCTGGCAAATACATCTAACGAAAGGAAGTTCAAGGGTCCAAAATGATCATGTAGAAAGATTAAGTACGAAGGGGGAAATACTGTTGAATCAATAGAATTGGTCGACAACGCCGTAGTTGTAATCAATAATCAACTTCTTGATTGAATATAGCAATATTATTGAAATTAATATATTATACATTGTTTTGATAAGTTTCAACAACATTATTGTTAAATCAAAAAGATTTTATTTCAAATACGCTGTTAATCAATTCTATTAATTCAACGACATTTTTTCCGTGTATTGACATTCCGTAAATGTCAATGCGACCGATATATCACGATCTTGATGCGTGAATTAAACAAAAAATTGTATAATTACTATATACTCAGAGAAAAACATGATAATAACGTCTTTATAGGTGACAATTATGCACTGAGAAAAAATATTTAAAAATTTATCTGTGGCATATGAAGTTTATTCTAAGAAATAAACTTTTTTTTCACAAAAATAAACTTTACAAGTCACCTACAAATAAATCTACAAATATTTTTCTCAGTGTGTACAAAGTTTGTATGTAGAGAACCGAGGATCAATTGGAAATAAAGCAAATTTGAAATAAAGCAAATTTGAAATAAATTTCCTTAGCGAAACGCCATGTCCGAAATGTCGCGGTCGTATAAAATATTCACCGAAGTTAGAGACAAAGAGTTGACAATTAGCTGATGAAACATCTGAGTATATTTTGCTGAAAATACCCACGAGTCTCTTTGCAGTGAATTTGAGCCGGAAATAAAATTGCTTTTAGCAAAAAAAAAATCAGGCGCAATTTTCCTTTCTTTATTACCTCCTCGCTGTTAGAGTACACGCGCGCATAGCTTAATCCGAGAAATTTTGTTTCTCAAGTTCTTCCTGGCGGAAGTGCGTCTCGGTTACAGGAGTTGGAAGGGATAAACTCAACGAGTGTTGCAGTTGCGTAGAAAATCTCAACAAGGTTGCGCGCGGGAGTCGTTCGCGATGTTATACGTGAAATGGACCCACGCAATGGAGCCACATGCAATACATAGTTCAGCTTGTAATTTAACTTTCCACACGGGCAAGCTTCTCGTAAAAATGGACTGCGTAGAGGAGTAAAAAATTCGTGCGTTTACGTTTACGCGGACAAATTTTCGATTATTTTTACAGATCGGTTCGATCCCGGCGCTGGGGCGGATACTTCACGGAGTGTCGTAATACGGTGATTTTTATTCCGCGGGAGTATTCCCCTCGAGAGACTGCAAATGATTTCAAGAGGGAGAAAGAGAGAGTGTCACGCGACGGATGCGATTTTATACGATATCAGACCTGTAGCGAGATAATCGACCAACGTCCTCGTGGTGAACGCCGGAATGTTCGTAGACTGATAAAAGTAAGATAAACGATGACAGGGGCATTTTTACGACGAGAGGGGAAACGACGAAATTGTGCCTATATCTCACGACGATTTGCGACGCCGTTCGCGCTTCTTATAACGTCTGTAAGACGTTCCGAAATTATCCTCACGAGTTTACATCAGTCTTCTTTGAAGACTATCCCCCCTGTTGTTACAGCCGTAACAATTTATGATCCCGCGAATAATCGGGATTATTGAGTGTGTATTAGTACGTTTTAAATCTAATAATAAATTCGATTCATTATTGAGCTGCGGATATACAGAAGCGAAACAAAAAATAAATATTAATTTTAGTGCATTTATATATCCTGGTGTTGTAATAATAGGTAAATCACTATGATATCGATGTTTTCGTGTTAAGATTCTCTTGATTTCAATTAAATTTCAGAATATATCCTCAAAATATCGCATCTTCGATGTTAACAGATATTAATCCCTTGTGGTCGAACTACATCGAACTTGATATCTTATATCTCATTTTAGTCAACCTTATAAATCAACTTATTATTCATTAATAATATACTCAATGTAAATTATAATATTGTAATATTACTATAAATTTGTTTAAGTATATTAAAATATAGGTAAATAATAAAAAACACAAAATCGTCGTGGAGCAAATGGATTTCTGCAGATGAGTTGAGAAGAAAAGTCGAAAATAATTCAGACCGCAAAGTGTTAAAGTATTCGAACATTCGTAATTTTGAACGGCAAATGTATGACTATTTTTGCTATATCTTCGTTAAGAATCAATGCAATTTTTCTACATATGCACTACATAATAAAACACTTCTTGAATATTGAAATTCAACACTCACCATTTTGTGTTCATCGATGTCCAATCAGAACCATCGGAACAATGTCTAGGAACAATCGGTGAAACAACACGTCGATGCATCCTGAACTGCGACGTTTCATGTTGATTGCACTTTATCTCACTTATGAGATAAAACGACAATTGCACTATATTTTGCTCGCAGCACGATTAATATTCACATTATAGCGACGTTTAATGAATATCCAGGCGATATCGATGAAATGTTTGGATTTATTTCGAAGCGAGATAACATGAATTCGATTAACGGATGATGGAAATAAAATATTAGCAAATTCACGTCGCGAATATTTGTCGCAGTACGATATGACTATCGGCACGTTAAGAACACACGTTTCACGAATTGCGTGAAAAAAATTACGTATCAAAAACGAATAATGTTCACGACGCGAGATAGAAAATACGGAAGACAATATTATTTAACACACCAGTGGTGTGAATAGCGCCACGACAATAAATATCGCGAATTAAAATCCGCAAGCGCGGAGTTGTCGCGAATTTTGCGCATGGTGGGGTACAATTTTATGCGTATATACTGCTAGAAATAGAAAGTAGAGGATCGTATTAGATAAATAGTTCCGAATAATTTTTGCGAATGATAGTGCAGCTCAAGTCAAAGTAAACAAATAAAATACGCGTTTATATAAATATATTAACTAAAGTTAAAACTAAAAAAAAAAATATTCAAGCTATTTGAAATATTGAACTTAATTAGCGTAAGCACTTGTAAAAAAACAATCTTCTATTTCCTTCTAACGTAACGTAAATATTCAAAAACACACAAAAGAATATATACTGCACTTAAGTAAATGTTACTTGTTTTAAGTATCCTGAAGATTTACATGTCTGTAATTATCCTCGTAGTCATCTGAAAGATAAACGGTCCAAAATATTGCAATCATAACAGTATTGCGCTATTTGTTGCTATTTGTTACGATTGCGATTTTTGAACCGGTTATCTTCCAAACGACTACGAGAATAATATTGAGATTTTATATCCTTAATCTACTCGTCCTAAGCTTTAAATCAATGTATCATTTTATTGGAATAATTAAAGTTTTACAAAATCCTATGAAAAAGTGCCAAAACTTGCACACTCTCCTGCATACTCTCCTTTAGAGTAAATATTCTCTATTAAAATTAACTACTGCTAAGAGAGGAAGAATAAACTGAGTAATTGTTTTTCTCAACAGCAGAATGATATTTTTCTGTGTGTGAATATGGAAAGATCTACCAGCATAGTAAATCGCATTGATTCCTACAAAATTTTCTACAACTATGTCTGAACTACCCACGTCTAAACACCACCTTGAAATCTTAGTATTTTGTCACTCACCAAATACGCGGAACTCGGGCTCTATTTTGTCCTGCTGTTTAAATCTGAAATCAAAAGATACAATTTTATCAGTCAGATTTAGAGACTCGAATGAATAAGCAAGTGCGTAATAGAGATACGAACGGATTAGACCTTTGCGGTCGTAATGCGAGTCGTTCTGCCACGATATCTCAGCTTACGACCGCGAAAGGTTAAATAGAGAAGTATAGCGTGTACGTGAACGTACCTTCGAGTCGAGTCTGCTCGGCCCGAACCGGATTCTCCGGTACGGCATCCGCGTTTTGCAGAAACTACATCCTCCGGAACTTCGTCTGCCGTGCGGCCGTTATTTTCGCGCGATCTGAATCAAAAATTGATTTGTCTGATTAGTTATAACAATAATAAGGTTACTTGGTAATGAGGACTTGGTGTGGACGGATTAGGAATACATGCCGGTTGAATTCTTTTTTTAAATCCGACAGAAATGGAATATCGCAATTATACACTTTAAATTTTACACCTTACTGCTCGCGATGACCCGAATACGACGGCCGCGACGCGAATATCGCGTATTCTTATTTTACGTTAACACCGATTCATCTCAAAAATTCGAAAATGATAGTCCACGTCGCTGAGGTGCTCGCTCGCGCGTGTCTAGGACTGTTATAGCTCCAAGCGCGCCGCGTACCCCGATGTGTTTATGTTGAAGGTCGCGCGACCTTAGACCATAAAGCTTGATCTACAATGTATTCTCTGTTTTCTGTTTCTTTTTCTCTTTATCTCTTCCGGTCTGAAATCTTAAGCCATAAGCCAGAAAAATATGGAGAACAAGAAACAGAAAGCAAAGAGCACATTGTAGATTAAATTTAATACGCGCGTATGACTCTGTGTACTCGTTGACAGTATAAATACGTTGTAAATCGAGTCAACGCGAGCTGACAAGCAACACACACGTTTGTTATATTACTACAATAAGAAAAAATGGTGAAATCAATGAAACTGTGCTTGAACGAACAAAATTCGTTCGAGCAAACGTTTAATCGATTAAACGAATACTACATACACGGAGAGAATTTCACTATAAAATTTTTTTGTAGTTGAGAAACATATCAACATATTGCCTTAATTTATTATCCTTCCATTCATATGTTCATCTTTATATTTTAGGAACTATTAGAACTACAAGATCTATTATTAAAAAAATTTAGTATTTTTCTTAGCAAAATAAACTATACTGACAATTTATTCTGTTTTTTGGTACTAAAAACTACTAAAAACTAAAAACATGATAAAATTCTCTCTCTCTCTCTCTCTCTCTCTCTCTCTCTCTCTCATATATATATGTATACCCTATGATTAGTCAGTAAATACAACGTATTGTTGCGCCAATTTGTCCACCGATTTGTTTACTCAACCACTCCATTTTCTCAGTGTATACAGAATATCCCGTGATTGTTGATGTGACATTTCGACGAATTTGTGAATTCAACTTGCGTATTAAAAATTTGCGATGTACCACTAAAAACTCAAGATCGGTTCGTCCGACACCATGTCCGCGTGTCGATTTCAAATTCCGTGATACTACTCGATATCTCGACTACGGCTACGAAGTTATTGCTCGCTGGATGCCTGTGGCATTCTGCACAGAGTTGCAGACGACGGCATTGCCTTTGGTGCTCGCACGACGTTGCAATTTCTACTCACGACGTGAATGCCGATTCACATTATGGAAATTTAACGTTCGACGAAAATTGAGCGCGATGCGAGAGCGAAAATTTCAAGGAATTCAAGACTCGTCAGGGGCACGAAAGGTCAAGGACCAGCAGTGTTAGAGCAACCCGCGGGACAACGATAACGACGACGACGACAACAACGACGTCGTGGTCGTTGTTGTCATCATGGCTGCTTCCGGGGAGCGAACGACGGCGCGCAAAAGCGGAAGCTCCTTGCACTAGTTGCATTTCCTGCGCGTCGCCGTTGTCCTGCACAACGTGGCAGGCCAATTCGGAAATTGGAACGTGACCGTGCGGTGAATTTACGACCGAGCATCTGGCGTCAGCTTAATAAAGCTTCCGCGGCGGCGGTTTCGAGCTGACTTAATTAGCTCCTGCTTCCTCTCTTCTCGCGTCCAGTCTACCTTTTCTTCTCTCTCTTTCCCTCCCTTTCTCTCTTTCTCTCTCTTTCATCTTAGATTCTCTCATTGCGGCTCGTAACAATGGTCTTGTTTATACTGGGCTGCCCTGGTCATTCTCGAGTCACGTCCTGACTCATCGTCCTACCGTCTCTTTCTCCCTGAGTATCTCTCTCTTTCTGACTTCCTAATTAAAGACACGACCATAATGTGCAGGTCTGTCCGAACGTCATTTTAGAAACGAAAAGTCGAGAGAACTTTTCGCTAAAGCGCAGCAAACCAAATCTTAATACAGTCTTCATATTATTAACCATTTCCAAATCGTTCATTTATTTATTTAAACAGCCATTTATCTAACAAAATATAATCTTATCTTTAATGAAAATCCTCTTATATAAGAGGATTTTTCTAAAATTAAAAGAAAAATATTCTAAACACAATATTCTTAAAGTTAGAGAAATTTCGCCTCTTATCTACAATATGAATCTTGGTCTCAACAGAAATTTTTTCAAATAAGGCATTTTGCATCAAATAAGGATATTCCTTTTGACTCAAAAGAAAAGAAAAAGTTAGAATAATATCTAGTAGATTGCCGATTTAATAGTTTACTTCATTAGAACAGTAATATTCTTTTGATAAGAGTCTCCACTTAGAGTATGAAATTATAGATAATAGCATTTTGCAACTAAATTTCTTTTAAGTGTTTTTAGAATATTTTCCTTTTGGTTTTAGAAAAATCCTCTTGAGGCCATATATACTGAGAGAAATAATAGGTGGATATATATAATCCCGAAAAAAGTACCAAAATTCTAAAAGTAGGACAATGTCCCAGAAAGTCACAATCGTAAAAATTGAGTAAAAATTCCCAAAAAGGAATAATCTCTCGAAATATTGAAAGCATGAAATTGTCAATCACTATAATTGTTAATAACTTGTCGTATAACTTGATGCTTTCGATATTTTAGAAGATTATTCCTATAGTTTTTGAAATTGTGATTTTTTGAGACAATGATATGCTTCCAATATTTTAGAAAAATTTCAGTACATTGTACTATTATGTGATTTTTCAGGTTTGTGACTTTACAGAGCGTTGTCCCGTTTCACAAATTTCGGAATTATCTGTCAAATAATATCTAAAAAATAAAAATATATATTTGGTGATCAGCTCGTTTTAACTTTGATGAAGAGCTTGAGAGGAGAGTTTAGTGCTAATAACATTTTTATTTAAATCTAGATAGTTTTTTTTAAACAATAAACAATTGCTTTCATGGAAAAAATTAAGGTTTTAAAAAATTTATATTTTATTTGAAAAATATTTCGTACTAATATGAAAATAAATACTGATTAGTATTATATCTTTTTTTATTTTTTCGATACTTTTCTCTCAGTGTATAAGAATATTTCCGCTGAGAATAAGATTATATTGTTTTAGGTATTGAAATGAAAAAAAGATGGGGCCACTTCTTACTTTAATCAAATGTTGGACAATAATTAGCCCAAAAACACGTACATATTCGTACAAAATATAATGAGGAAAGAAAGCTAAATTGTTTTCGTGGATAAAAAATTTCTGGAGCGAAATTAGCACGTTCACATCCGGCCACATCCGTCCCCTCATCCTTTACGCGCGCGCGCCGAATTATTAAAGATTTCTAAACGGCGTTAACTCTTAATTACTGCCACACGTAATTACGTGAGTTTGCGCGCGTGATGGTAAATACAGGCGTAATTGCAACACGGTCTAACGATGATTATAACACAATGGCGGTGTTTGTCGCGCGCAACGGTATCACAGGGTTCACCTACTGCGCTACCTGCACGTTAAGCTTCACGTCGCATCGCAGGCACGTGCGCGCGGAAATTTGTCGAAGCTCCTCGGCAACGTGAGCTTCCGCATCGTAACGAGCTTACGCTGAGCCGCCCAGCGTTTCGCGACACGCTCGCGAGACGACAAATAAAAAATGTGATTTCCGGCGCGATGTGACACAAACTACTTGCAATCTAATTACCACGTGTCAGATGCATCGGCAGATTTCATATTGCGGTCTTTACATCGCGGAGTGAAGTGCAGCGATGGAATCGCACGCTTTTTCAAGCGAAATGTCAGCAAAACTTGCGTTATCAAGCGCGTATGCCTAACACAATTCAATTATTACTATATCGTTTCCGTTGATTCATTAGTTTCCCTATAACCCCTAGAATTTATCTAAAGGTGAAGAGCGTATTATTTGAATAAAGCTTCCTGTATCGAAATGAGGATTTCGTTGTTGAAAATTTGCTGTACTAGACCGAAATTTGGTTAAAATGCGATTAACAATAGTAATTGACGATAATTGACCAAAAAATTTAATTATCGCTTATGTTTTGCTTCCTCACAAGTACATCCTACGTGACTCAAACAAAAAATAAGGAAATGCTAACCAAAAAGGGTTTGGTCGCATGTACCAAATATTTTAGTTCCAAATATTTTAAATATAAAAATAATGTTTATATAAAAATAATTAAAAAAATAATTTCATATGGCGATTAAACTAGGGGGATATCCTTCATGTCCGACTTTTTGTACCTACCTACATTGAGAAAAAAATACTTGAAAATTTATTTGTGGGATATATAAAGGTTATTTCTGAAATGAACTTTATACCTCACAAACGAATTTTTACAAGAGAATGCTCGGAATAAAGGAGATCTTATTTTTATTCCAAAAATACTCGATACATTAATAATACTGAGAAAAAAATACTTACAAATCTATTTGTGGGATATATAAAGTTTATTTAGGAAATGAACTTAATATCCCACAAATTAATTTTCAAGTATTTTTCTCAGTATAATTAATGTGTCGAGTATTTCTGGAATATAAAAATGAGATTTCCTTTATCACTCTTCGAGCATTCCCTCGTAAAAATTCTGCCCGCATGATCAACGTCCTTTCCCGAAAAAATTAAGTTTTCTTCGGATTCCGTTTGGCGGAAGATGCGAACTTTCGTCAGCCGTTTTCGGTTTCAAAGGCAATCCTGACAGCAAAAATCTAAGCGGATTATCACACGCGGAAAAAGAATTTAATATCTTACAGGAGTTAAAAGATAGCTCTGACAGCTAAGATGCGTTATTGAAATAGAGACTGCTAAATGTCACCGAAACTAAATTTATTTGCTATTTGAACTTCGACGCTGCGGCGAAAAAATATTCGCTACTACAGAGACAAAAAGTTCACATTATTATAATTTCGTATCTCTTTCAAATTATACTTCACACTCGTCGAAAAGTATGACACTGACGCCTCGCATTACAAGTCCAAACGTACATTTCCCGCTAGTTCTTACTATATATCAATAATTAATGCTTTAACGAAAGCATAAAAATCAATGTGTGTCTCGTACTTACAAGAGTGCACCATTTGATCCTCACATCACAGAAGGATGATTCTACGTCCATCGGAAGTGCAACAATTTTCCCTTTCCAGCGGTTCTTGTTTCCAGTCGCTACGACGTCTGGAAGCGAAGTTATTAACGATTGAATCGACTGATTTTTTATCACTGCGAGTAAGACGCTTCGCGACGCGCGAATGGAATGTGTGGTACGCGGCTACTGCTTCCGGTAAGTTACCTTGCGTAAGTGAAAGTATGCCGCGGCACGGCTCATGCTACCTCTCCCTACCTCTCCCCTCTCCCCTCCGCACGTCTCAGAGCAGCGTAGCTCCGCTCAGTTGCTCGCTGTAATTGCTCGCGTGCGGTCGTTTACCTCTCACTTGAGGAACCAATGTGCACAGAGAAGAGGATATTCCTATGTTTCTTCTTCCATTCTATCTTTATTTTTGACATGTTAATCTGCAAATGAAATCACGTAGTCAAACGAAAGTAAGTCACTTGTACGAATATATATTTTATATGATATATAATATATATTTTATATATATAATCATATAAAATATATATAATATATATTTCATATTATATATTTAATATATATAATATATATAATATATATATTTTATACGATTATATTTATTTAATATATATAATCATATAAATAAAAATATATAATATATATTTTATATGATTTTTTCAACAAAGAAGAAACCGTGCTTTTATTATTCCAAGATAATTTCCATGAATGAAAAGCGTAAAATATTGGATCGAGAATATATGTTTTTAAATGTGCGTTATGCCCCAGGTTTCTTTCTATCCACTTAAAGCTAACACACAAATTGACAATCACTTTTTCCTATATAAGCAACAATACACGAATTTCATTGAAAGAATTTTAAAACCATGCATTTGGGTAATGTGTTATATTTTTATTTGAATATTATAATAGTCAATTATAAGACGTGCAACATGATTATGTTGATGATAATGATGTCTTTTTCCGATATTTTAATTTATTATTAATCATCAAAACGGGCATTCCGCTGATTTAATGAGCAAAAGCACGGATTGTTCAAGTTGCCTGAGTTTATTATTTTGATAACACGGTTGCTTCAACGTATTCATTTCATATACGTTCATTTAAACGTGTGTGAGAGCTCGGTCGTTCCTCTCTGAAAAAATATAAGTATGAATTATATTTGTTTTTTTTTCGTGCAGGAAATTAAAGAGAAGTAAAGTGAAGTAATAACTGCAATATGGACTCATTTGCTTGCAATTATTCGAGAGTTGAAATATTTAAAGTAGGTTCTAAAATTTCAACTCGGGTTCGCTCCTCGCAAAATTTTATTACCGAGATATGTGCTTCGCTGAATTTTTTCTCAGTTGCGCGAAATCTAATGTAGTATATCGATTTAATCTAAACGAGAAAACGATATGTCTGAAATCGTTAATTAACCATATACGCGGGCGATTTCGCGCTTCTTCGGTTCTTTTGCCGTCGACTCGTGTTTCGCACTAATTACTATACCACGCACAGTAATACAGTTGAAATTCACTCTCGTCGAGTTAATGGAGCAGCAATGCGACCGCGCGTATCTTCGATGATTACGGCACACATCTAATAAAAAAAAGTCTATCTTCTACGTCGAAAATGATCGATGTCGAGCGACAAACGCGAACGTGAATAGGCTACATAGAGTTGTTTGCGTTTTTTGTTCATCGCGACGACAACAAGAGCAAAAACGACGGCGCGATAAACGCGATGCGCGAGCCCGCGCTCATCGTTTTCGATAATAATTTCGTTATTACGATGACGGTGTCGGCCGATATTGATGAGAATCAGCATGGATGTTGCAGCAACATCACCTGTTCATACATATTGAACATTGTGTTTACCGTATGTAGTGACGGAATCAATCCGTGTGTCTCCGATATTAATTTAACTCGCATAAATTTCCCGCGACTAACGAATTAATTTCTGCTACTCCGACAAGCAAATTTTGCGCAACTAATTATTGAGTGAAAATCACGATTGAATAGTGCAATATTCAGTACACGTTCAGACACGCCAACGTTTCTTACACATTTAACATTTTATTTGGTAATGCTGTTGGCAATGTTGTTGCTTTCAAGCAACAATGGGCTAGAACATGGGCTAGAACAATAGATGCAGGATACATTTGTTTAACGTCGTTGCTTCAGAGCAACATCTGGTTATCCGTTTTGTTCGTCAGTGTTTCAGTAGTCAGTGTTTCGATTTTTGCTACTAAGAGAAAGACTTGAAAATTTATTTTTGCAAGATATATAAAGTTTCTTCACAGAAATAAACTTTATTTCACAGAAATAAACTTTACATTCCACAAATAAATTTGCAAGTATTTTTTTCTCGATGCAGATGACAAAAATTGTGGAAAATATATTAATGTTTCAAAAACAGTGCAAAAACACTGCATCATTTACTTCATTCAAAAATGTTTCCTTAAATTTTTTTGAGTATACCAAATAAAGGATAACTTCAGAAGTAAATCCCGTCAAAATTTTATTTCACATTAATTCTGCAAATCTCTCCTATTGAAGACATTTAGTGAGAAATCTGGAGATATAATTCTATACACACTCTTTTTATATCTTGATGCAATCTATATTGAGGGAAAAAATATCTAAGAAATAAAAAATATTTATTTGTTGGGTACTAATAATACATCTACGTATATACTAATGAAAAATTTCTCAAATAAAAAATATGCATTTCCTGAAAACCTTGTAGTTTTTCAGGAAAGTAATTATTTATTCCACTTAAATAATAAAATTTAGATTTAAGTAAATACATTATATATTACCATTCACTAAATAAATATATTTTTTATTTTTTAGACATTTTCCCTCAGTTTAAATTAAAATTAATATAGAATTAACATTATTAAAAATAAATTAACACAGAACCAAAATTTCATCGCGTGAAAATACATGGTAGTATTGCAGCGCAGCGTGATAACGTTTAAAAAAAAACTCCCCCGATTTATTGTTCGTTATATTTAGTGCGCGGTTCATGATCTGCAAATTATAATCCAGTTAAGGAATAATGAGAGGCTAACCGAGAAAGCTTCCGGCCCTACATTTGCACGTCGTTGATTTGATATAGGTACGTTAATCGCTACATTCGTAATGTTTGCTTCTCACATCTCGTCGCGCGCGTGCTGTTGAATATTAAAAAGATATTTCCGAATTTTGCAGCGGGAAGCGCGTTTTGACGCGTTCGCGTCGAGCCAAAACGAGCGAATTCGTATACAACGAGTTGGTACTCGCAAAGAACTCGGTCCCCCATTCCTATCTATGGTGCACAGCACCGTCGAAATGACCGTTGATATCCGTAATGACATTACCGCCGCTCGTACGAACGTAGTATCAGTCATGAGCAGTCTCGTTGGGATCCTGCTTTCGCGAGATATCGCGAGATACGACGCGTCGTTATAATGCGAATACGCCGCTGTTTTTTTATTAATAATCGCCAAATGAGTGGGCCACTCTCGAAAAATAGAACAGTGCGTTTACATCGCGTGGTACATACACATCGGAACGAAAATTAATTCGCGACAATCCCACGATCAGGATTTGAAAGAGGGATGGAAAGAGACGAGAACGCGGAGACACGCACAGCCGAGAGCGCATGTCGACAATACGCGTCTCATTATTGAATCGCGGCCCGTATGAATATTTATGCTAATTCATAACGTTTAATAACTCACACGACGAAATTATTTGTGACGCGAATTTTGAGGTACATTTTATCGTGCGCGATCTGCGAAATTCACCGGGCAGATATTGTCAAACGAATTGTTTGTCGTGCATTGAATGTTCCCTCGTTTTACCTTTGCTTTATTTTCCAAAGAATGTTTATTCGCGTCCGACAGACAACGCACTCAAAAACGCCGATTTTCCATTACCGTGGAAAATACGGCCGATTAGTTGCATATTGTTTCAACTGGCTACATAAAAGAGGCCCGAGTGCATATGCAAGAATTGCAAGCAAAATTAAAATTAAAAAGCACACATAATCGCCGCGTGGAAAATTACATGTGCATTTACAAATACCAAAGAACATTTGACTATTTTTTAACATTTCGTCAATATTAGCATGATTATTGATTAATATTAAAGTATATAAAAGAACGAACTACGAAAAACGACGATTTCATTAATTAATTCGCCTATCGACGTACGATCGGTATATATTCGAATGAAATTATAATCAAGTCAAAATCATCTGTGCACACAGGCATTATATATATTTAAAATATGATAATAAATAAATAAATAAATTATATATATATATAATATATATAATATAAATAAATAAATATATATATATATATATATATATTAACAGTCACGCTACCTTTGATGTAGCGTATACCATTTACGTGCTATTCGTGGTTTTGTTCAAGGGAAGGAACAAAATTTGACGCGTTACCGCTTCAAATATCGCGCCATGTGAACAAGTAATACCCGATAAAAGCGACAGAATCTTCCTACACGGTGATATGGAATTATGTACCATAATACGTCTTCGTTATACGTAACGCAACTCGAAAGTTATGCTTCTAGCGGAAGGGACTTTGTAATCCTGATTAATAACTTGAAAGTACGCTCATAAAAGGGATTTCCAAAGTAAAAAAGATTTTTAATACAAATCTCTGCATTCCCCCATACGGAGCTGCTTTCCCAGCATTTTCTTTAGTAATCAATGTGCAAGCGGAACGGGGAGAGAGGGAGAGTATTGTCGGACTCGATTAATTTTACTCTTTTGTCAGTTGTCTTTTATGTAAAAAAAATTTTTCTGTCGCTTCTATACATGCACTTTCGCAGCGATTTGACGACGTGTCGTATACACTGAGAGAAAAATATTTAAAAAACAAAAAATACTTAATTCGATGCCTACTGATAAAACATTTATTTGCACTAATGTAGAATATTTTTCAAACAAAAAAAAAAAATATATATATATATACATTTTTCTTCAGAACATTACATAGAAAAAGGGACATTCCCGTTTGGGAAATATCTTTATTTCTGATAATCTGTTAATCTCAAAATGAAATTATATAGCGTTAAACGAAGACAAATTATTTGCAAGACTATATTTTATATCAATATGATTCAACGAAAGAAACCTGTCATTCAAAAATAATTTTCAGTAATAAAAAGCACAAAATCGAATTGAGAATATGATATTTTTGAATATATGTTATGCCTCAAGTTTTTTAAACTCAGGTCCACTTAAAGCTAATATACTTAAATTAACAATAATTATTTCATCATTATGTTAGCATTGTTTTATACATGAACAAAGACATAATTTTGCTAGAAGAATTTCAAAGTCTTAAATTTCAATATAATGTTATAACTTTTTAAAAATATACTAGTTTCGTAAGAAGTACAGTATGATTATTTTGATGGTAATGATATATCCTCTTCTGACATTTAAAACCATTACATTCTCAATCTAATATTTTGTGCTTTTCATTAATAAAGACTATTTTTAAATAATAAGAACATAGATCTTTTTCTTCATTGAAAATCATAAAATATATTCTTGCAAATAACTTATCTACGTTTAACGTTACATAATTTAATTCGAAAGTTAACATATCGAAAATAAAGATATTTTCCAAACAAGAACATCCTTTCTTTTTAGTGTAGCTTTTCATGGAAGTAACTGTTCACTCCATCCAAATGAAAGAATTGAGATTTCGATAAATATATCATTAATATCCATCGACTAAATAAGTTTTTGATTTTTTAAATATCTTCTCTCTCGGTGTACTTTCGCGCGTAACCCAGATCCGCGTTTTCAACTGGGCTGCCTCAATCCCCGAAAATTATGTTCCTTTCAAACCACGCAATTCGATCTCGACGCAATTGAAATTTCACTGGCCGCTTTTTTCCGTTTTTTTTTACGAATCTGTGCGAGCGTGGTGCCCGATTCGCGTCGATGCGCAACGCCACGTGTGCGAACGACAGACAGACGGCGATAGCTGTGCGCAATTACGCATCTCGTGAAACCGTAACGTATGTTATGCCCGACCGGTTATGCGACGCGGTGGATACACGACATCATCGCGGCGACGGCGACGGCTGCGTTCGTTGGCGCGTGCACACACAATGTCGCGAAACCGCGTATATATGACGTCGTGCCCGAAAGTGCGTGAATTATCCGGCAACTCGTTACACGTATTGCGATCCCTGCCGGGATCGATCAGTTGCATTTATCCACGACCGTTTCCCTTTCGTCGTTTTTCACGCCGCACCCTCCCCTCTACAGGTGATCTCGTTACGCCGAAACGAACTAGGTTAATTCCACCGCAAACCGAATTTCATATCCACAGTAATGACAGCTCGTTAATATCGCGATCAACGAGTTGAGTCGAGAAACAAAAATGCATATTTGATTACGCGGAAAAAAGAGAAATTAGCTAGGCCAACAGGAATCTGCGCAGCTGAATCTCGTTATAATATACATACAGAGGCTATGTCAGTATTGGAAATCTATATACTATAGATGTTATATATATTATAGATTTTCAGTATTGACAATGAATATCCAAACGTAGCAAAAGAAGATGTAGCTTTTTTGTTTCACATAAATTATTTTCAATTTTACTATGTTCTTAGTAGTCCAAAAATAGACTGTTAATAAGATCCAAGTAAGATCTTGCCAAGGAGCATAGTAAATTTCTAGCTAGAAACATAGTAAGTGTTTTAATATAGCACATTTCCTAAAATATAAGTCACACATGTGAAATGTAAGAATAGCGAATTACTGTAGAACGTCCATCTATTCCAGCTACAAAATCCTCTACAGTAATTTTTATTCATAAAATTCTCTTTGAGTATGGATACCTAAAAATACACTTGTCAAAAGGCATATACATATTTAATTGTGAGATTGCGATATAGCAATAATAGTAGCTAAACTTTTAGCTATAACAACAAAATTTCAGTTAAGGTAAATGTTCCAATAATTAAACCTTGTTCCAATAATTGAAACATTAAAAATATATTTATATTTAATACTTCTAAAAGTCTTCGAAATTTTGTTGAAGAAATACTTATTTATACTAATTTGTAGTATTATTTAATAACCATTCAACTACTAAGTTTGTATTGTTCAGTAATTAGGACATGATTCATTTTTCAGTTCAATTACTAGTACAACTGGCATTATTTAACGTATCTCATTAAAATTATAATTCATATTTATCGATTATTTTATTTCTTATTATTTCCCAATCGCTGAAAACCAAGATTTTACATAAACATTAATTTTTTTGCAATTTCATTAATTACTTATTAATAAAAATGCTAATTATATTCTCTTATTAGTTTAGTTATTTACCTTATAGCAGCAAAAACACACTTTCACGAAACCATGATTAGATGCGGTAGTGAAATCTTTTCTTCCCGTGTAGTTGATTGTAGTGCCCGGAACGATTAAGACACACTGGCTGCGTTCTGATATTTACTGCCAGTTCTGAAAATTTATAATATACATAATGTAAACATAGTCGGTGTACAGGGCTGTGGGGCGCGTCGTCTACGAAATGCACTTGCTACTTACGATACGTATTTCCACTCGAGTGTCTGTTAAAGGTTAGACACCTGTGATCAAGACGCTGTCGACACTCGATCGCAAACAGACGCGTGAACGAAGAAGTTAGCTGCGGACAGTGTCTTTCGAACTATTTGTCTTACACAAATTACGAGATCGGAATATTTCTTATGGGAGCAAGAAGTATGTCGTCCTACCGTAATGGAAGACACTTGTCTCTCTTTAATAATCGCCACTGAAATGACGCGCCGGCAACTTCACATCGGCTACTTCGTTTTAACGCGTTCTGATTCGTAGAAGCGCCGAATACCCGCAAGTCGCGTTAATTGGTCCGCGAAATCATGATTTGGCGCGTTTCTCAACAATTTGTTCGTGTATCGAGTGAAAGATAAATGAATGTTAACAAGCGAATGAGTAACAAGTGCCAAAGCTCTAGCTCACAGTCTTGCTTTAAGCCATAAGCAAATTGACAAACCACAGTTGATTATCCTTGGAATAATGGTTAGTGAATTTGCTTATGGCTTAAAGCAGAATTGTGGAGTAGAGCTAAATGTTCGGAACGATAAACGAGCCGAGCCGAGTCGAGCAAGGAGAATGCATATTTGGTTAGTTAATCATGGTTTCTAGAACCAAATGAAACACGGGATATCGAGCCGTAGGACGCACCGTTTACGAAATGTTGATATCTGCTCCTTACGCTATGTCTGCAAGCCGGCGTCTATTAGAGGTTAGAGGTCGGACATTGACGACCCAATCTATACGTTGTTCTTGTTGACATTGTCGTGAGCGGACGCGTAGACGGAGAGACTTGCAGCGGACGGTGTCTTTCAAGTTGATTATATGACACAAATTATGAGTGCGAAACGTTTCTTACAGAAGCAGGGAACAGTCGTTCCTCTGTAGTGGAAAACACTTGTCTCCAGTCACGGCGCTCTAATCACAGTAAAGGCCTTCACACACACTTTCCGTAATAGTAACCGTAAGACGTAACGTAAGAATTGACCAATTACGATGGAGTATTCACAAAAATGGCGACCTTATGTTTCGACGATTTTCAACGTGATTGGTCAATTCTTACGTTACGTCTTACGTTACTGTTACGGAAAGTGTGTGTGAAGGCCTTAAAGATGGGTGGGCAACTTCACGCCGGTTACCTAGTTTTTACGCATTCTGATTCGTCAAATGTCGCGAGCCCATTGATTAGTCCGTGAAAATCGTAATTAACCGCGTTTTTCGAACGATTATGTTGTATCACGAATCCATATATCGATAAATGAGTGACAAATGAAGCATCTGAAACAATAAACGAACCGAATCAAAAAATGAAAATGTATGGTTGATTGATTAATCATGATTTTTTGAAACGAACAAAACAGTGTATTGAACTGTAAGATATGTCGTTTATGAAATATTTGTACTTACTACTTACGATACTTACGATACATATTTTCACTCCGGCGTCTGTTAGTGAGGAGGAGAAGAAGGAGAAGGGGGGACGCTGACGATCCAGGCTACGGGACGTTATTAATGAGCGCGTTCAGCGGAAAAAGTGCTCAGTGAGTAATCAGCGATTATTGGTTCTTACTGTTAGATCCCTAGACCAATTATATTAACGAATTGCTCAACTGTTGTGCAACTGTTGAGTTCGTTGAACGCACCCATTGTTAATACTCGATCGCGAGCGGACGTGTGTACAAAGAGACTTGCCGCGGAGTGTCTTTCGAGCTGATTTTACGATGCAAATTACGAAATCAGAATGTTTCTCGCAAAAACACTTGTTTGTTTTTGTTTGTTAATATTAGAAAATATTCGTCTCTCTGAAGCCCATTCTGCAATAATCGTAAGAGTATGCAGTAAAACATAAGCTCATTGATCAGTGGTATTCTTAGGCTGGGGACAGAAAAACTTAAGCAGTGATAAAATTGACCAATCACAATCGATTATTCTTTGATCATAAAGAGAATCGTCGACAGTAATTGGTCAATTTTCTTACTGTTAAGTTTTTCGGTGTGTCTCCAGCCTTGCAGTCTTAGAATAATGGACTATAGTTGGTCAATTTGCTTATTACTTACGTTTTATTATATGTTTTTACAATTATTATAAAATGAGCTTGATAATCGCTCTCGAAATTACATGCCAGCAACTTCATACCGATCACTTGTTTTCATCGTTCTTGTTTCACGTTCTGATTCGTTGGCGGTTCGAATGTCGCGTTGATTAGGCTAGAAACATAGAAAAACTTATGCAGTAAGACGTAAGCAGTAAGCAAATTGACTAATCGCAGTTGATTATTTTTCGACGTTCTGATTTATTGACGGTTCGAATGTCGCGCTGATTAGGCTAGAAACATAGGTTGCGTTCCGTTTCACGCATTATGCGTGCATTGCCTACAATATACGTAACATGAACTATAGATAAATGCGCGCATATGCGTGAAACGGAACGCAACCATAGAAAAACTTATGCAGTAAGACGTAAGCAGTAAGCAAATTGACCAATCGCAGTTGATTATTTTTCGACCGTAAAGAGAATAGTCGATTGTGATTGGTCAATTTGTTTATTGCTTACGTCTTACTGCTTAAGTTTTTCTGTGTGTCACAGCCCTTATTCTGTAATTATCTATATAATTATCTGCACTTTTTGATCAATCGAGCCCATGTATCGATAAATCAATGTTGGGTAAGTGAGTGAGTGACAAGTGGCCAAGTGTTTGGAACGATAAACGAGCCGAACCGAGAAACAAAAATATACGCTCGTTCAATTAACCGCAATTTCTGGGACGATTAAAACGTGGCGTAGAACGTGCTGTTTACGATTCTTTGGCTTGCTACTTGCGACATGCATCCTTGCTATAACGCCTATTAAGGCCTATCTAGACAAACTATAATCACGTAATATATATGCATAAAGAAATCGAGCAATCATAATCCGTGCAATAAGAGATGATCTTATTCCCCTTGTCCACAACCTTGCTTTAATCTTTAAGCCGTAATAAATTGACCACAGTCGATTATTTTAAAAATAATCAACTGTGATTGGTCAATTTCTTACAGCTTAAGAATTAAAGCAAGGTTGTGGGTAAGGGCTTAGATACGTAATTAATTAATTTCCTTGTGCATATACGTTATGCTATTATGCAAGTTTGTGTGAATAGCTCTTTACAGATTAAAGTTCGGACACAGACTATATTCCGATATTGACTGCCAATACTGAAAACCTATAGTATACGTGATATAAGCTATATATATAAATTTTCAGTAGTAGCAGTGAATATGGAAACATAGCCTGGGCACGTATTATGGATTTTTCGGAATCGATTCCGATCGGAATATTTCCGTTATTCTCTAGATTTCTATTATCTTTTCTAGGGAAAACAAAATTATTTCGATCGAAATTGATTCCGAAGAGTTCTATAATACGTTCCCTGAAGTGTTAGTTTAGCTAAAAGTTGCAAAAAGCAACTCTCTAGCGTCGAAATCGAAACATTTTTTACCGAGATAGATAGAGAACAGCGGCCTAGTCTACAATAGCTCTACAATAACTTAGCCTTAAGCTTTAAAAACTTGACGAATCACAATTGATTATTCTCCTTACAAGTTTCTTCTCACTACCGCGACTAGCGCCTCCGCGTCGAAAGGACGCGCTGACAACTTCACGACGGTTACTTCGTTTCGACGACATTTTGATTCGGCGACATGCCGGACACAGTGCGAGTGACGAGTGATCGGTATCACAGGATCATGAAACGTGTCGATTAGGCTGCGGAATTGCAATTAACTGCATTATTCTGACCGATTTGTGTTTGGGAATTGGATGAGCGACAAGGGGACGCGAAATGGGCGAGTGACAAATAATCCAGTGTTTGTGATGATGCAACGGCCAACGAGAGGACAGCCGACGTCGACGATGACGATGACTGGTAAGTGAATAATCCATTTATTACTCGTCTCAAATAACAGTGATTTACTCCCTCTTCTAATTGCAATCTCGCGGTTAAGGACAAAGCTTATATTCTGAACTCTCTTTTATCAATAAAAGTACCTCTAAAAGAGACTTGTGAGTTTTCTGAAATCTATAAGCCACATTTAGAGACATTTTTATTGACAAAAGACCGTGTTCGTGATGCCGAGTGCAGAAATATATGTCCGATTTTCCGTGGCGTCGTTAATGTCCTTTGCTCTCTCGAGATGTCGTCACATGCACGCGTGTGATGTCGGCGTTCAAAAAAGAAAGCTACGGCAACTTCGCGCTATCATTCGAAAATGTCCAGTTTAGTCTTGCAACGCACTCCGAATCGGATGTGGTGGACGAGAATGACAAACAGTCGTTGTAAATCGCACGATCGACACTCGGAATCGCGTTTGAAACTGCGTTCTTCGATTGATCTGTATCTGCGTGATGAGCGAGCGATAAATAAATGTACAGTAAGTGGACAATAAGTAATCAAGTACGATGATTCGTAGGTGTCCGGAATAGTGCAGCCGGCGAGAGGCAATGGCTTCGAGAGTTCGTCAGTGAGTCAATTGGTGAGTCGATAACCAAATCAATGATCCAGTTGTTAATCTCAGCTCTCGGGCATCCACTCGCGCCGTTTCCATTGTCCTGATTGCAGTTCTAATTACCATCTCGCTATACCGAAATATATGCAACGTTAAAATAGGTTAGATTAGCGGCATATATGTGTGTGACATTAAGTGCATGTAGGAATTGAATTACGCTCCGGCAACAACAATCTGATTGGCAAACCATGACCTCACTTAGAGATAAATATAATATTGAGAATAAAATATTAAAAAATCAATGCATTGATGTATAAATTTCTTTGTAATTAATGTAAAATATACATTTATATTCAATATATTAATTTATATAGTAGGATAAATTAAATAATTTTTCCAACGTTGCTTAAAATACCTGTTATTACAATTGTGCTTAATGTTGATTTTTTTTATAAATATACGAATCCCGTATTACTTTATAAATATATAATAGGAAGCTCGTTAATATTTCATTGGTCCTAAAGTAACAATTTATATTAATCTTGAATGTAGCATTTGTGTATATGCGTAAAAATGTTCTTATAATATGTCAATTTCTTAATATTTAATATGTTTAATATTAATGTATAATATTCATATTAAATATATTAATTTATATGTAATATATAAAAAAATTAATATATTAATATAAAAATATTTTTTCGTGTATGTGTGTGTACAAATGCTACATTCAGGATTAATATTAACGCCAATTGATATTTTAGGGATTAATGAAATATCAGCGAACTTTCTATCGTGTTTATACAATAACATAGAATTCGTAAATTTTTTGTTAAAAAGACAACATTGAGTGCAATTGTGAGAAGTACCATGAAGCAACGTTGGAAAAGTTATTCAACTTGGACCGCGGCATCTCTCAGTTGTGGTTTACATAGGCAGCTATACTATTTCCTTTATCAAGACAAAATAAGTTCTCGCTATGCTTTTTTTAACACACAGACACACACATACGCATACACACACATATTCTCGTTTTTCATAGAACTTCGCGCCGATAACGATACAAACAAACGGGCGGATCGTTGTACACGGAGTGTGTATACATCCAGGACATCGTTCGAATACGCAGTAGCGATTCCATTGTTCCGCAAAAAGTTAATTTGTTGAGTACTGCGTGCGCTTGCGTGACCGAGGCGCTACGCCAGCTGGACGCTTTTTCGACGAACGAGCTGCCGTTACGTCGCGCGCGCATGTTTTGTGTGCTTTATTAAAACTCGCTTCATTCGCAGGATCCGCTCCGTTTCCGGATCCACGATATCTCGCGCTGTTCATGTCGCATTTTTAATTCCCATGAGGGATCTCCCTTTCTTTCGGCCGACGCGCAATCATCGGGACGCCGCGCTGCCGTGGCTTTTCGCGAAATAACGAACCGCGTTTGCGAGTTACGTCGGGGTTTTCCGCTCGAAACGGCGGATTGCCTTTTCAGCGAGAAATGGTGTTCCGAAAAAAAAAAACAGAAAGGAAAGACGACGTTTTTATTACGCGGTATTTTGTAGTTTCGGCCAATCCGCGTGTACATTCCATTTACACTCTCTTCTCACTTTAACTTATCTGATATCGTTAAAAAATTTTAAAAGAAATAATAAAATTTATGTATATATATATATATATATATATATATATATATATATATATATATATGTATACACGTATATGAATCAGATTTAATATTATAATACTGTGAGAAGAAAAATATCTGAAAAATAGAAATTATTTATTTGGTGGGTATCAATAACATTATATTTAAATCTAAATTTTTTCCTTTAAATAGATTAAACAATTTTGTGATAAACTTTTAAGCAATTGTATATCTCCTTACGTGAAAGAAAATTATTTTTCTATGTAAGAATACATTATAGAAAAGTACTTGAAAATTTTACTTGTGATATATAATATTATTTCTGTGATAATAAATCTTATATCCCATAAATAAATTTTTAAAACACAAAGTATTATAAATATGTACTATTAAAAACGCTTAATAAATTTTCAATAGTATTTTTTCTCATTCTTTGAATATTAGTGTAAGTAAATATGTTGTTAGCACCCACAGAATAATTTTTTTGATATTTTTTGTCTCAATATGTAATGTTCACACTGCATTATATAATTATTTATAAATAAATAGATATACAAGGTGCTTCAAATAATGTTATATAGAGAAAACTTATATGGAAAAAAGTTACGTATGTGTGTGTGTGTGTGTGTGTGTGTGTGTGTGTGTGT